CAAGTAACACAAGGAGGCTGCTTGAAATCCCAGCTCTGCCTCCTCCGGGATCTTCCAGCAAGTGCTGCATCTCCAGGGTCTTGCTTTCTCCACCGGGAAGGCTGACCTGATGAGGTCACGAAAGGGACATACAAGGTGCTTCTTTGCCAGCTCTGTCTGGGCTCCACTGAGCCTGTCCCCCCACCCAGGATGGTGCCACAGCCCACTCGCCTCCAGATAGACGCAGCCCCCAGCTCCGGGACGGGGCCCCAAGCTGCGGGACAGGGCTCTGCCCACGCTTGCCACACAGTGGTAGAACCATGAGTCTGGAGCCAAACGAGGACCCAGACTCTTCACAGCCTCTAAGGCCCCATCTCCTCTCTGCAAGGACGTGTTTAGAGCCAGCTCTCGGGTTCTAAGCAGACTGTTATAGCTGAATCCCGCCCCTGCCTCTCAGGCGAGCGCATGGAGGTTAGGACATGGGCCCTGGCTCTGACTGTGTGACTCTGGGCAGGCCTGTCAAATGCGGTGATGGCAGTGCCCACCTCAAGGGGGTCGTGAGAACTGAATGTGTTTGCAAAGTGCCTAGATGAGACCTAAGACTTAGTGGGCGACTTACGATCACTAGGGGTCCCTGACCCACAGGGGGCAGTCCCCTCCCTCTGCAGGCTCTCTCATGGAGCCTCATTAGCAAGCAGAAGTTAACTAGCTGTCTCACTGGCCATGAGGCTGGGAAGTGGAACAGCTGGGATTTGACGGCTGTGCTCTGGATTCTGCTAGAGAGCAGAAGCCAGCTGCTGGCCCAGTTTGGGTGGCCCTTTGGTAAGCCTGACCCAGCTAGGAGGTGCCTCTGGGGGCCATCACGTGCCCTACAGGCTGCCCAGGCACAGCCTCACAGTGGCCACTGCTCCCAGGTTGGATGCTCCACCCAATGAGAGATAAGCTCCAGGGCCCAATGTAGCTACTGTGAGTCCCGACAGGCCAAGAGGGCCTAGCAGGCAGCAGGTGCGCAGCCTGCTCCCCTTTTCTGGAGCATCTTTCCATGTGCAAGCCCTTGCACATGGGCATCCTGTTTTTCACGGGCATCAAGGGTCAAAAGACCCTGCAGAGTTAAAAGAACCCCCCAGAGACTCCCCCACTTTCTCTTTTCACTCAGGCCGCCAGGAAGCTCAGAGCCTAATGATTTACAGCTCTTGAATGGGCCTTTATGTCTTGCACACATACACCAGGTTCCTCCAGTCTTCTCTCATTATTAGTTTTTGTTCTGATGTTTGCTTTAAAGTTTATACTTTAACTTTTCATTGTGGTTTCTGGAAGACACATGTAGCCGTTTGTCGTAAATACAAATAAATACTATCATAGCTACAAACATAAAGCCTCCATCAGTCCAGGCTCCTTATTTTTCAGGGGAAAAAATTGAGGCACTGAGGGATGGTGACTTTCTGAGTTGGGGATGCGCCTCTTGGCCTGGGACTGGCAGCTCCAGGGCAGAGGTGGCCCCATCGGCAGCCTTAGCAGGTGGGGGAACAGGGCCCGGGGAGAGGGAGCTTGGGTCTCAGGTCTCCGCTCCACAGCCAGCGGAGCTGCAGTGTGACGGGCCCCAGCGGCTGGGAGGGGCAACTCAGACATAGGTGATTCTGTGTGAAACCGTCTAAATGGTTGATGCCTTCTTGCTGATTGATCTCCAGTGAGGGAGCTCATGTGGATTTTGCTGGCTTTCAAGAGGGTTATGCATCTTCAAGAATGTGAAAGGATCTCATCCCAGGCTCCCTGGGGTGACACTCTGCTAATGGCTGTGTCACGAGGGGAGTTTGAGTGGGGCGTGCTGGCTCAGGGCATACAGGAATTGTATGTCCAGCAGGATGGGCTGTGTGGAAAAGCTGAGAGCCTGGCAGCCTCCAGGGCCTTTCTGAATCTCAGTTTTCTTCACCCCTAAAAGAAGACAGCAGTCTGTTTCCGAAGCCACAGCACCTGGGATCCCAGGGGCTGGGGAGTGTCCTCTTGTCCCAGGACTCAGAGAGGGCTAGGTGTCTGCCCAGGGTTGCACAGCCTGCCTGCCAGAAACCTGAGACCTGAGACCTTCTGCCACTCATTTGAGGGGCTTGCACTTTATCTTACAGACTGTGGGAAGCCGTGGGAGGTTTGAAAGTAGGGGGCAGCATGTGCGTTTTTGGAAAGAGGAACTGCCGAAGTGTCAATATTTAACAGAGGAACTGAATCACCAGAGGGGAAACTGAGCCTTATGGGGTGGGTGGAGCAAGGGGCACCCTAGGACCACTTGAGTCATTCCATCATATGGGGCCCCAGCACCCCATTCACACTTGCCTGGGCTGGGGACCACTTGGGTTCCCTGCAGTGCCCTTTGTCTCTCCAGTGGAGGGATGTCAGCTGCCCAGAAAGTGTCCCTCGACTGTGGTAGGAGGGGAGGTTGCATGCCCCCCACTGTGGCTGCCATGGGCACCCACCCTATGCCCCAGGGAAGGAGAGGCAAGGAGGAGCTGAGCCCAGTAAGTGGCCTCTGCCCTGCCCCCTCCTGAGACATTTCCTCCAGATGAAATCACATCTCCAGCAGGGGAACAGGCCCCCATTGTGAAGGGCTGGGGTCCCCAGAGAAAGGGCGCCTTTCAGCCCCTTAAAAGCAGCTGTCCTGGGATTTATGAATCTGTATGGCATGGAGTCCAGCCCCCGCCCCAGCAGCAACACAGGCCTCCTGTCACCCCCATCCCAGACCACGACCTGTTGGTGACCAGCTGGGGAGGGGCTGCTAGTCCTCCAGGAACTCAAGCTCCCCCTGCCTCACCCACCCCAGCTGCGACCCCGGCTTTGTCCCTTCCGCCCAGGGCCCCTGCGGGTGGTCCTCAGCAGGGATCGTTGGCGTTGGGCAGATGAGGAGACTGAGGCACAATTTGTAAGTCATTGCGTAGGCGGAGCCAGGGCCGCAGCAGCTGCCCGCGCTCTTGTGCTGTGCTAGGGTCCCGCGGAGGTGGGCCGGCCGGTGTAGGGCCTGGTTCCCAGGCACCCGGGGGTAGCAGCCCGCAGGAACCTTGCCACATGACCCAGGTGGGCACCTGCCCTGACCGTGACTTGGCCTCAGGTGGATGGGCCCAGGGCCGGGGGCGGCCTACTTCTCCCTGAGGGCAGGGAGGGCAGGACTGCATGAGTTTGAGGGTGTTGGGTGAACGATGCGCGTGAGTTGAAGACTCCAAGATGTGAAGGGTGGGGCGAAAGGAGGGCATCCCTCAAGGGGCCTGGGAAGGGCCCTCCGCAGGGCTCACCTGGGAACCAGGTGTGCAGGGCTAGCAGGGACTGCTGGCTGCCGGGACCCTCACTTTCCTCTGCTGGGATCTGCACGGATGTGAGCGCGCGGGGCTGCTGGGACTTCTCATTCCCTCGTGGGGGTGGCTGGGGGCGCACTCCCCGGTGCCCTCCTGAGCCACATGGACGTGCTCCAGAGCCAGGGTGACGCAAACACCGGCTGCCGGCCACACGGCCCGGCCCCGGCCCCACTGCCGCCCTCGGTGCCGGCGTTTCCAGCCTGAGCAAAGCCGCTGCTGTTAGCCGCTGGTCCTGGGCATGCAGCCCTGGGCAGCCCCAGACCCGCACCCACCCCCGGCCCCTGCCACCGGCTGGCTGCCGAACGCCTTCATCCTTCTCCAGCCTCCCGGATCCATGCTCCGACTCCTCCTTGGAGAGACAGGGATGATGTCACTTCCTGGGGGTGGGGGGAGGAGGAGGCACGACCCGCAGGCCAGCCCGCCGGCTCGCAGAGCAGCCCAGCAGCGGCTCACTGTGCGGCTGTACCAGGGCGCTGGGCCGGCCATGCCCCCAGCAGGCCACTCGGCCCCACGCCCCCTCGCCCACCCTGAGGGCGGTGCCCACCGGCCCAGGCAGACCTGGCTTCTTTGCCAAGTGATGCTGGTCTCCGCGGGCACTTGTTTTCCCCGGAGCTGTCACTAGGGAGACTTGCTGCCCGCCCCTGGACCTGGTGCCATGTAAGCCTCTGCCAGCCGGCGGGGGCAGCCGGTCACAAGTGGGGTGCCCAGCCCCCGTGGCAGGGCTTCTGCGCACTTCAGAGCAGGCTCTCCCGGAGCCCCTCCCCAAGACCTCCCAGGACCCACCCACGGTGGGGTCATCTCAGTCTGTGTCGTTCCCCTTGTTCCTGGGGCAACGTGGAGTGGGTACCCAGGTCCCCGGTGTGCCTCCCTGGCCTGAGCTGGCTGGGGCAAATTCGAATCCAGCTACTTAGAGTTGGGGTCGGGGCTGTCAAGACCACATTGCTCTTGATGGGCGTGGGGGGTGTGGCTGCGGGAGGTGGGTGACCTGCCGGGAGGGCTCACCCGCCAGCCTTCCGGCAGGAGGACTGGGCGCCCCGGCCATCCTCCAGACCTCAAATCTAGCACGTCCTTCCTGCCAAGAGATGCAGCTGCGGTTGGGCTTTCTGTCAGCTGGGGGCAAGACCAAGTCACAGGCGTGCCCGCGGGCAAGGAGCTAGAGACCTCATTCCAGAAATATCTACTGAGCACCTACTGTGCGCAGGGTGCCCCTCCCTCCATGCTGTCCCAGCCCCACACACGCGCCCCTCTGCCCTATGGCCTTCAGCCTTGCCCTGGCCTGTTCATGCTGACGGCCAGTTCTGGGAACCCCCGGGAATCCCCCCAGGACTGTGTGCACTGGGCCAGGTCTCGCAGAAAGGCGATAGGGGTGGAGGGCTCCCCTGATCCCATGGAGGGGAGGCAGAGGTTGAGCCCAGATCTTTAATAAAGCTGAGCAATCCTGAGCGACCAGTGCCAGTCTTGGGGCACCGCAGGAATAAGGCTGGAGCCAGTGTCTGGCTGCTGAGTCCTTTATGTGAGCTCTGGGAGTGAATGGGGTGGGACTCGGCTGCTGCCCGGGGATGGAGCAGTATTTCAGGGACCTGGAGAGAGCCCAGGGAGAGAGCCCAGGGAGAGATGCATGTGCTGCCGGCCACATCTGACAGAAGTGTGGTTCCCCTGGGTGCCACGTGAAACAGGAGCCACAGGGTCCTCTGCTGTGTTCCAGGAGGTGAGCGCCAGGCCCGCTGAGCCTCCGCAGAGCCGCCAGCCATGCCCGGGATTGTGGTATTCCGGAGGCGCTGGTCTGTGGGCAGCGATGACCTCGTCCTGCCAGCCATCTTCCTCTTCCTGCTGCACACCACCTGGTGAGTCTGGGACACGCCGCAGGCCTGGGTTAGAGAAAGGGCTGCAAAGAGCTTTCCGGCCATCTGGCCATGCTCCAGCCCCCACAAGGGTCCAGAGAACCCTGCCTGGCACCTGAGACCTGGCCCCACCCTGGGCAGAGCTGCTGCCTACCCTGCTGCCATGTCCCTGTCCCTGTCTGGCCATGTCCTCAGAGGCACTCCATGCCAGTCGCGGTGAAGCCAGGCTGCCGGTGCCCCTCACTCTCACCTGGTGTCCCCCAGGTTTGTGATCCTGTCCGTGGTGCTCTTCGGCCTGGTCTACAATCCCCACGAGGCCTGCTCTCTGAACCTGGTGGACCACGGCCGCGGCTACCTGGGCATCCTGCTGAGCTGCATGATCGCCGAGATGGCCATCATCTGGCTGAGCATGCGCGGGGGCATCCTCTACACGGAGCCCCGCGAATCCATGCAGTACGTGCTCTACGTGCGCCTGGGTAAGGGCCACCAGCTTGGGTGGGAGGCTGCTCTGGACCACCCTCCTCCACCCTCCACCCGGGCTCCCTCACGCGTCCAGGCCCCGTCGATGAGGTGCCAGCACTGGGTACAACAAGGAACCGGCAGGCTCACCGGGCTTCCGTTCTAGACCGGGAAGGGCAGACTTTGGACCCAGGGCCAGAACTGCCCTACTGTGTGTTTTTGTAAATAAAGGTTTCCTGGATCCCAGATTCATTCATTTGTACACACACTGGACACTTTTGCACGACCTGAGCAGAGCTGAGTCGTTGCAACAGAGAGTCGGACCCGGACCTGCAGAGTCTACGATACCTTTACAGGAACAGTCTGCCCACCCCATCCTACGCTGCGTGCTTCTCTTTACCTGCTTTGAGATCCATCTCCAAACAGACCCCCCTTTCCTGGGAAGCGCTTAGGGGCCTGCTCTACCTCCCCAGAGGCGAGGCTGGGCCTCATCCTGGGCTCGGGTTCCAGCCTTCTCCAGGCCATTCCCAGCGAGCCGTGTCCCTGATAACTCAGGCAGGAGCTATTTGGCCTCCGTTTGTTTGCAGATGGGCTCCAAGGGGCGCATTAGTCTCCTCGGGCTCACAATGAGTATCTGAGCTGAGATGGGAACCCAGGCCGTCTGGCTGCAGAGCCCACGCTCCCAGCTGCCATGCCGCGCCCCCGGGCACCAGGACTTTGAGCCGCCCTCTTCCCCAGCCTGGGCTCTGCTCACTGCCTGACCCATAGCTGCTGGGGCTCCTCTCCCCTCCTGCCCCGAGTGCCCAGGCCTGATCCTGGGAAATAGCAGTTTCTGTGAAATGAACTCCTGGTCTAAGTCTCGCACAGGCCCAAGACAGGTCTGACCCCAGAGTTGGCAGGTGTAATCCTGCAGGCCTTGTCATCGCCCGCCTTGGCAGTCACTAGCTGGGGGGCACCAATAGGTTGTGGGTCCATGTCAACAATACAGATGTGGGGGACTGCTCCCTGGGCCTCTGAGGGGGTCTGTCACCAAGCTGGCAAGGCCCAGGTTAGGAAGGTCCAGGCCACACCCAGGGCCCGTCCCAGCAGACGACAGCAGCTCCCTGCAGCCAGTCACTCTCCTTGCAGCGATTCTGGTCATCGAGTTCATCTACGCCATTGTGGGCATCGTCTGGCTCACCCAGTACTACACCTCCTGCAATGACCTGACGGCCAAGAACGTCACCCTGGGTACGTGAGCAGTCCAGGGGGGAGGGCCTGCTTAGAGAAGAGGAACTCAGGCTCCACTAGGGGGAGGCCCTTCTGTGGGGCGCCCAGCGGGTTGACAGGCAAGGCCCTAGCTTCCCCTTGGGGTCTGCCATCAGCTGCAGGCAACCTGGGTCATGTGGGTGACACAGGCAGAGCTGCCTGGGCAGCTGCTGAGGGCTTCCCAGCACCTCAGGAACCCGCAGGGCCGCCTGCTCTATGCCAGGGGTGGGCCTTGCCCCTCAGCAAGGGGCAGCAGGTGGCCAGAGGCTGGGACCTGGAGGCTTTGGAGTTGCTGTCTGTCCCAGAAACAGTTGGGTGGGGGGAGACCCCAGCACCAGTGAGGTGTCCCAGCACCTCCTCCTCTTGTTCCCACCACTGCCCGTGCAGGGATGGTCGTCTGCAACTGGGTGGTCATCCTTAGCGTCTGCATCACCGTCCTCTGCGTTTTCGACCCCACGGGCCGCACCTTCGTCAAACTGAGGGCCACCAAGAGAAGGCAGCGCAACCTGCGGACCTACAACCTGCGGTCAGTCAGCAGGGCCGTCCCCTGGGGTTTGCTGGGGTGGGCAGCCCAGACGAGGCCCCTGTGTCCAGAAGGCTGGCCCCACGCTCCAAAACTGCATCTGGACCTGTGTGAACTGGGGGCACCCATCCCAGACTGAGCACCTTCCTGCCTCGGTCTCTTGAGCTGTACAGTGGGAGCCACAACCGTGGTGAGGCTCAGGAGTTGTGCCATGTTGAAGACTGGGCAGACAGCTGCTTGGTGCTCAGGGCATGGTGGTCCTCGCCGTCACCTTCCCTCCTGCAGCCCCCGCCATAGTCATAGCAGGGTGTGCGGGTGCATGGGCTTGTTCACTTACAACGGCTCCATCATCATCCCCCAAATACAGATGAGGAAACAGAAAGCTGTTGAGACGTGCCTGAGGTGACTCTACTAGTCAGTGATGGGGCTGGGGTCAAACCCTGGCAGTGTGGCTGTAGCAGTTTAGAGTTCTTGCTCTTAACCACTAGGCTGTGCTGCCTCTGGGGTGAAATAGACTGGAGGAAGGTAATCAAGGAAGGCTTCCTGGAGGAAGCAGACCTTACACAGTGTTTTAAATAGGAGAGAGATGACCATGTCATGGCAGAGAAAATAAAGGCTGGCATCCAGGCCAGGTCACAGTCGTTCCTGTTATGGAAAGAAAAGGTGGGGGGAGGGGGTTACAAGGTGGGTCACAAATTCCCGCTAATCAAGCTTCTACTCTGAGATAGACGGGCCCTACACCGAGCCCCACACCGAGCCCCTTCTACCCTCGGTCCACTTGCTCCATTGTCGACTCTGGGGTGACTGTGAGACCCATCCTGCAGAGGGGGCGTACCAGTCCTATAGAGGGCTGGTCCCTTGGGGGAGTGGAGAGGGCACTTGATGCCCAGCCCAGATGGTGCAGGAGCCCTCAGCCAAGGGAGTGGGCTGCCCAGGCCCCCTGTCCAGCAGAGTTCTCCCCACCTTCCTTAGTCCCGCCAGGTCAGCCAGGCACGGCACCAGCACCACACCCTCGCCTGGGCTGCCATGTCCCAGCCCAAAATGCCAGGTCTTGGAGCCACGGTCCCATTGCCTGTCTGCCCTCTCAGTGCTGCTGGCCACCACCCACCCCATTTTGCTCACTCTGGGCCCACACCCACACCTGACCTGGTTTCTGGGCTCTTGGGGCCCTGGAATAAAATCTCCCCTCTGGCTCTGGGTAATTGCCTTTGGGGCCCAGGGCAACCAGGGCTGTGCAGCTGGGGGTTGGCAGCGACTGGCATTTTAATTTGAAAGTTTTCCTGCGGTTCCAGGCCCAGGGCGGGTAAGAGGCCAAGTGCCCACAGGTCCCGACCTGCTGTGGTTTCTCGGCACCGGGCAGGACCGGGCGGACAGGGTAACCTGTCTGGTGACCCGCCAACCCTCTCTCTGCTCTGAAGCCAACAGGCAGCTTTTCTAGCAAGGACATTTTCAGGCCTGCTGACCCTCATCCACTTCCAGGGTCGGGAAAGCACACAGCCCTCCGCCCCACCCCTGGGCCGTTCTCGCTTCTGGAAGGCGGGAAGCTGCTTGAATCCTTGGTCATTTCTCCTTGCAGCGAAGTTAGGTGAGGGGTGGGCGATGGGTTCCTCCCTGCTGCTCCTGGGGGTGTCTATGCTCCACTCGCTTTAGAGAGCCTGGGGTAGAGGACTCTGGGTCCATGAACTTGTGCAGACTTGGATGTCTCCCCACCTTGGTGGCTGGATGCAGCCACCAACTCCGTCTGCCCCCTGGTGGGCATACAGGATAGTGCAGGCGGTGTGCAGTCAGCCCTTGCGCGGCCCAAGGTCCTGCAGGAAATTCTCTTGTGAAAGCCATTAGATTAAAAGGGTTAAAGAACATGATGCTCTGAGAGCCCAACTTGGCCAGCAGGCTGTCCCTTTGTCAGGCCCCTGGCGGTGGATGTCGGTTTAGAATGTAAGGCTGCCCCAGTCCCTTCTGACAGCAGGTCCCCCAAACAGCCATTCTCTGACACCCTCTCCTGACCCCCTGCGGCCCTGAAGGCCCTGCCTGCCCTGTGACTTGTCCTGCCTTCGTGGCGCACTCACTGCCTGACCAGGGCTGGGGGCAGGAAGCAACCTTTAGCCAGAGAAGAGCCCGGAGGGCTGAGAGTGCAGGCCGGCCTGCCATCCCGAGGGACGCTAAGTGCCTGGGGTGCGTTCACAGCCTCCCCATCTCCAGCGACCGCCAGCATCGGGCTCTGACAGGGCCGGCGGGAGGCGCATGTCACCAGGGCACGTCAGCCTCTCTTGCTGGGTCTGGAAATGGACACTTGAAATGTCGACTCGATTACCTTGATGTTCCAGACACACTGACTTCTGGGCCCCTGGCTGTGGAAGGGCCCTCACAGAGCAGCCGGGACTACAGGGGCCGGGGGTGGGCATGGAGAGGGGCCAGTCCTGCAGATAAAGAGTGGGTGCCCTCTCCCCTCTAAGGTCACAGATGCAAGGCACTGGGTAATTTCACAGCCTCAACCAGCTTCTTAAACTCCCCCAAACAGGGAACACAAGTCTCTGAAAGCCCTTCCCAGGGGGGCAAGGCTCTTGACTGGTCTGCTCCAGCCGTGGAGAACCCCAGAACCCTGCTGCCTTGTTCAGGGCTCTGGCTTTGAGCCTTTGGATACCTGGCTGCAGAGAAGCCCCCGCTCTGGGCCCCCAGCCAGAGCCCCCAAGGCCTGCTAGTGTTGGCTGCCAAAAGCCCGGAACGGGCCCAGCCTGAGCCAGGGGAACACACCATCCCAGGCCAGCGGGAATCTGCCAGGAGTGCCCCGCTGGCAGCCAGCCAGGCCGCTGGCCACCCAGCTTTGGCAGGGCCTGGGCCCCGGCCCTGTTCTCCCCTAGACTCCCCTGCCCTCGGTGGGGTCCTGGGAACAGGCCGCCCTGTTTCACCAGCGTCAGGGCCCCCGGCTGTTCTGGCCCAGCCCTCTGACCTCACACATACCAACTCTCCCCCTTTGCAGACACCGCTTAGAGGAGGGTCAGGCCACCAGCTGGTCGCGCCGGCTCAAAGTGTTTCTTTGCTGCACTCGGACAAAGGATTCCCAGTCAGTAAGTACCGGGGGTCGCTTCCCTGGGGTGCACATCCTGCCTTGGCCGGCCATTCAGCGGCCTCAGCTCCTCAGGCAGAGCTGGTAGAAGGCAGCTGGGTTTGAGCAGGGACAGGGTGACAGTCAGTTCACACCAGGCCATCATCCACGGCCCTGGCAGGGCCAGCATGTGACACAGCCCAGCCCTGGCTGTCAAGGCACCGGGAAGATTTTAAGACCTTTCCTAGACCCCCTTGGGACGTAGCTTAGAAGAAAGCCTCAGAAATCAGGGCAGCCTGAAGACAAAGAAGAGCAGCTTATCACCAGCAGCAAAAGACTCTGGACGATTCCATGGGGCTATCCAGTGCCTGCGTGGGCCGTCCTTGTCAGGAAGGCAGGCAGAGTCAGCGTGGACCGCCCCTGGAGGGGAAGGGGGGCAGAGCCCCCAGCCCTGGCAGGGCCTCAGAGATTGCCCAGTCCCACCCCTCATTTTGCAGATCAGGCAGCGGAGGCCCAGAGAGGTGGAGTGCTTCGCTCAGCGCCCCACAGCTAGTTAGTGCCAGAGCCAGTGAGGCCAGGAGACTACTCCTCCCTGAGCCAGACAGCAGAGTGCCCTCCACGGAAGCCACCAGAAGCCTGAGTGGCTCCTTCCCACCAGAAGCCCCTGGTGAGCTGTAGAGTGAGTAACCGAGTGTAAGAAAGCCCCCCACCCCGCCCCAGCCCAACCCCAGGATCCCTGGTGGGCGGGGAGCACCCTCACAGGCCGTGGACCGGGGTCTGGGCCTCAGGCAGGCCGTGCAAGGGGGCAGGGAGCCCTGGTAGAGGGGGGCTGGGCCTGCCAGGCCTGTGGAGGGCGTGTCCCCCCACCAGGCACTCAGGGGGAAAGGCGCCAAGTTGTTGCTGGTTCTGTTGGGCCCTGTTAGGTTTGTGAGTTTGCAACCTTGATTTCATCCCCTCCGACAAGTGCCAGGCGCTGAGGGTGAGCCCAGGGCAAAAGAACCGTGAGCTCATGCCCGACAGGGTGGGAAGCAGCTGTGAGGACGAGGGGGTGAGGAAGTCAGGGGCGGGCTCAGAGCTGCCTGCCTCCTGCCCGAGGCTGAGGCCCACGCTGTCCCGCTGTCCCGAGGACAGGGCTGCCGGGAAGCCAGGGACCGCTGCCTACATCACACCTTCCCCCGGCACACGGTGGGGGCCCTGAGCCTGCAGCTGTGGGCAGATGGAGGTCTCAGCTCGAGACCTGGGCGGCTCCGTGGAACCCTTTCAAGGTCATGCTGGCAGGAAGTGGGGAAGTTCCGTGAGGGGAGGAAGCAGCCAGGCCCTTCGTTTCGGCTCTTCTGCTAGAGAGAAGGCTGGGGGAGAGACAAACCCAGCCTCGCGGGCCCCGTGTCCTCCTTTCTGGGAAAGAACAGGAAGTGGCTCAAGTTGGCATCTGCATGTGGACGGAGGCCAGGAGAGGAGCGGAGGTGGAGGTCGAGAAGGGCCAGTGGTGACCCGAGGCAGCTACGCCCGGTGTGGGGGGCCCTGGGCGCAGGACAGGGCCACCCAGGGTGGGTCAGGCCTAGAGGCAGAGGAGGGCGAGTGTGCGCAGGGCGCCCACAGCGCCCGGAGTGACGCCAGCGGGGGAGTGACGCCTGGTCTCTCCTCTCCTGCTCCCCTGCCCTGCTGCCTGCCTCCCCGGCCTCCCAGGATGCCTACTCGGAAATCGCCTACCTCTTCGCCGAGTTCTTCCGGGACCTTGACATTGTGCCATCCGACATCATCGCGGGCCTGGTGCTGCTCCGGCAGCGGCAGCGGGCCAAGCGCAACGCCGTGCTGGACGAGGTAGTGGCCTCGGCTGCCTCCCAGCTGCCCTGGCTCCCCGGCTCTGTGCACTCTCTGGGCCCAAGGCCCCCCCTTCAGTGCCCCCACTTGTCCCTCCAGCCAGCCAGTCCCAGCTCTTCCTGTGCGATTTCTGCTGGGCCCCATGTGGCTGCTTCCTTCTGGGAGGGCCACAAGGAGCTTCTCATCCCAGAGGACTCTGGGTGCAGCAGCTCCTGTTCTAGCCTCCTGCATTGGCTTCTCCATCCCACCCCCTTATACTCCATGCCTGGGGAGGGTCTCCCCCAATCTCACACAAAATGTGTTTCCTCCTGGCCTGGGCTAGCAACACTGGAGGTTTGATGTCCTGGGGAAAATTATTGGAAATTATTGGAAATGAGAAGAGATTACAGTTTGGAAAATCAGGGGGCTGAGGAGAACTAGAGATGACACACTCCTTTGGGCTTTGGGGAGATGGGCAGAGTGCTGAGCCGGGGCCTGCACCCCTTTCTCAGCTGCCTCCCCACCACGCCCTGTGTTACAGGCCAATAATGACATCTTGGCCTTCCTGTCCGGGATGCCTGTGACCAGAAACACCAAGTACCTGGACCTGAAGAACTCGGTAAGTCAGAATCCACCCACCATGGCCGCGGCCTCCCCCTTCTGCCTGAACAACCTTGGCCAACCCCCTCCCAGCTCCCCTGCCCTCTCCACCTGTTCTGCCATGAGACACCCCCACCTTGGCTCCCCAGACAGCCTCTCAGCTCTCACCCCCTTCCTCCCGAGGACGCCCATCACGCAGGCCGGCAGATGAAAACCCTGGCGGCCCAGCCACCCTCAGAAGGCTGGTCCCGGCCTCTGGGACCACCAAGTGCGTCCCCAGGATGCACAGCTGCTGTCGCTGCTGCCCGCCCTGTGGTCAGAGGACCCAGCTCTCTGGGCCGTGCGCTCCTTTCAGTACTCTTCTCATGCGCCTCTAGTAGAAACCCAGTGTGACCCGTAGAAACCAAGCTTATCACTGGCAAAGGTGGGTTGCCCTGTGGCAGGGGGCACCCCTGGCCCAGGCCCTGCCCCAGATGCACAAGCGGCTTCTGCCTGTGCCTGCTGCTGTGGCCCTGAGGGGCCCCTGACTCCACGAGGCTGTTCCGGGCTGGTGGTGCAGCACCTGGTCCAGCCAGCGCCATGGAGGTGGAGGAAGGGGGGTCAGCCATCCTGAGTCCAGTCCAGCACAGGGTGCCAGCCAGAAGCTGCAGAAGGATCCATCCCTGGCCTCTCACCCCCAGAGAGGCCTTCACAATCTCCTCTCGCCTGACACCTGAAACAGGAGTGTGTCCCCTCCGGGAGAACGGCCAGGCTGCAGCAGGGCCCGGCCACCCCCATCCCCACATCCCTGCCCTGCAGAGGAAGTGGGCAGAGGCCATAGCCCAGCCTCCAACGCCGTGCCGGTGTCCCTGCCTGCCACCTGGCAGCCGCTGCCAGCGCCCTGCCCCACAGCCGGCGGAGCGCTCCGACACAGAGAGAGGATAATTGCCTTCCCCAGCCGTTCCTGAAGAGCAGAGGAGCGGCCGGGGACGCTGCCTCCCCTCTGGGCCCTGATTAAGGCGTACCTACTTCACTTCACACGATGACTAATCACCCTCTTTAAGTTTTACAAGGTGACTAATTCCCTCTAAGTGAGGAGCCCTCCAGTGCCCGCGGCGCCCGGACACTGGGAGCCGCTGGGCTGGGACACCCGTGTGCCCGCCCCACCCCCCCAGCCTGGCAGGCGGCAGCAGCCCCGGCCTGTGTCTTCCTTCCACACCGGCGCCTCTCCCCAGAGATGCCAATCTGCCCCGACGCCTGGGGAGCTGTGACTCAAGCCAGAATCTCCAACTCACAAAGAAGCCCGGGGCGAGGGAGGTACCCCACTCTGGTCACCAAGCGTGTCCGTGGGTCTGTCCCCGGCGCCTGTCTCAGGCCTGGCCCCCCGCCCCTGGGAGGGCGGACCGGAGGGGGGATGCTCGGGGCCAGAGCTCCTTCCCAGACCAGCTGCTGCGGAGGGCGACTGCCACGCACACTGCCCCCTCTTCTCCAGGAAAGCAGGCGAGGAAATCGATCCAGTGCTCCGAGTGTTTTTCTGTCCCCAAATCATTAATTCTGAGATTGGAACAACAGGACAGGTCTCGGGAGGATTCGTGCCCTGGTTGCATGGAGATAATTAGGGAAATGCAATTATCATCTGGAGGGGCGGCCTGCGCCAAGGCGGAAGGGGCCCCACTCCAGGGAGGCTTGCAGCGCAGCTCCCACCGGCCTTCCCCGGGCACCCCCTTGCCTGCCCCCAGGCTGCAGCTGGAAGGGCCAGGAAGTGACCCCTCCCCCCTCCTCTCTTCCAGCAAGAGATGCTCCGCTACAAGGAAGTCTGCTACTACATGCTCTTCGCTCTGGCCGCCTACGGGTGGCCCATGTACCTGATGCGGAAGCCGGCCTGCGGCCTGTGCCAGCTGGCCCGGTCCTGCTCGTGAGTACCCACGCCCTGCCCCACCTTTGCAGTCGGCCCCTGGAGGCCCTTCCACCCTGCCCGCCTCCCTGCACCTGTCTGGCTTCTCCTAGGCAGGCACTGGCTCTGTCTTCCCGGCTCGGCTTCTGCCTGGGCTGGGAAGAGCTTTGGAATCATGCAGTTGGGTTTGAATTTGAATCCCCACTTTGTCACGTGTAGCCTCTGGAAGGTCCGTCTGCCTCTCTGAGCCTCAGTCTTCGTCTGGTAGATGGGGGTGGTAGTACCGCCGCCAGGAATTGCTTGGGAGGGCCCAGTGAAACCCAGTGCCAGTGCCTGGCACTGCTGCTTCCCTGCCACCCGCTCTACCCCTCTCTTCTGCCCGCGTGTCCCATCTCCTGGCCCCCTGCCTGAACTCTGCCTTTCTGAAAGAAAGGGCCTCCCTGGTAGAGAGGCCTGATCCATGGAGGATCCATGGAAGTCCTGGAAAAGCGTCAAGAGGGCCTGTAGTTAGACTCCATCCCTGCTCATGGGGAACTGGCCCGCCTCAGCCCCAGCTGGGGGTGCCTTCCTAAGTGGGCCAGGAAGGGCACAGCTCCATGGGCCCCTCCCTCCCAGCCTTGCCGTCAGCCCAGGCAGGAGGAGGACAGCTCCCTGGGCACCCTATTCTGGAAAGGCCACCTGCCCGGAGGCAGCTTCCATCCTGCTGCTGCACCCTTGGGGCTCCGCAGCCAAACACCTTCCTCTCTGCAGGAAACTGGGTGTTCTCACCACCCCCTTGGCAAAGGGTCCCCCAGAGAACCAGGCCCCCATTCTCCTCCTCATGTCTCCAGCCAGCACCCTGGAGACCCTGGGGTTGATGAGATGTCTCCCAGGTGAGCACTGGACCCAGGAGTCCTGTGCCCGGGGACCCACAGGACTCCATTACCTGCTGGCAAGGTGTGGGCATCTTTGTATAGACAGTCATTGTTTCTGCCATTCGCCACATACAGGAGCCATTGCAGGCAAGCTGGCGTTCTGCAGACAGGAGAGAGGTTGGCTTTTCTGTCAGCCTCATGGTGCAGCAGGGTGACAAGCAGCTGGTCCTTGGACCCCACCCCCAAGGGCCCATCTAGGACCTTCCTGGAAGAATCAGGCTCCTGGGAGTGGAGAAGAGGCAGCCTGAAGTCAGTCTGTGGGGCAGAGGCTGCCCCACCTCGGAGTCCCTGCCTGTCCACGGCGGCCCAGGGACTGAGTGCCCACTGAGGCAGGGGGCTGCTCGCTCACCTGGACACCAGGTCCTGCACTGGCAGTGGTTAACCATCCCACAAGGAGCTTAACCGCCTCTGGCCTTACCACCTAGGAGGTCCCTCTCAGCCCCAGCGCTGCCCGGGATTTGTGGGCTGGGTGCCCGTGGGCAGGGTGCTGCCCTGGAAGGTGCCTGGGCCCAGTGTCCAGGCAACTGGCCTTATCACTCTCAGGTCACCCGTGCAGAGAGCAGGCGAGCCGGCGTTTATTAAGTGCCTGCTGTGTGCCAGGCCCTTTCTGCATCTCTCACCTGCCTTGTGAAGGACAGCTCAGCACCTACTCTTCCAGAGGAGGAAACTGAGGCTTAGGATGGCTGAGTGCCCCCCAAGAAGGGACACAGCAGAGCAAGAATTTGAGCCCAGGCTCTGTCCCCAAGGCCACTCTGGTGGCCTCAGGCTCAGGCTGGAGGACAGGGCTGAAGTCCGAGAGAGCTGACAGCTCCCGGCCTCTAGACTCAAGCCTGCCCCCTACTGGTGGGAGTGAGGACTCTCATCCCAGAAGCCAGGGGACCCCCAGTGTGCATGGAGATGGTCACCCACCCCCAGACCTGGTGGCTTCAGAGGCTTGTTTTGACCCTAGGTGTTCTCAATGACACCTCTCCCCATTGGGAAGGTAGGATGGTCCCCCAGGTGCTGCTTGAGTGAAGCCAAATCTCTCAGCAGCACCAAAATCCAGGATTCTTAATAGAATCTCAGCTGTCATCTTCTGACAGCTGGCAGGCGCAGGTCACATGCACCGGCTTCTGGGCCCCCATCTGTTGGGTGCTGGCTCCCTCTGGTGGCTGGAGGAGCAGCTGCACCCTGCGCTGCCACCCAGCCTGGCTGCTCACCCAGGTCTTTCTTACGCGGAGCCTACTGTGTGCCTGACGCTGTTTTGGGTGCTGGGGCCCCTGTTCTGAGGCAGGCAGGGCAAGGCCTGCCCTGTGGGGCCCAGGGCCTGGTACGGAGGCACGAACAGCACACAGATTGGAAGTGCCGTGTGGGAGCGGGTGGGTGCTCTAGAGGAGAGAAAGCCAGGCCACCCCGAGGAGGGTATTGACTGGGCGAGACAAGGTGGCTGAGGGGCCTCACCATGGTGTCCTGTTTGCACAGAAGCCTGAAGGGAGTGAGTTGGGCTGCCCGATATCTGGGAGCATTTCAGGCTGAGGGAACCAGGTGCAGAGAGGTGAGGCAGGACGTGGAAGTTGTCCAGGGGGAGGCGGGAAGGCCACGTGGCCCAAGGGCATCAGGGCCAGGCAGGGGGAAGGGCCCTCAGCCCCAGCTGACTCCACCTTTCATCCTGGAGGAGTGACTTACCTTCACCTGGCTGCTGAGTTGAGAAGGTGTGGGGCAAGGCTAGGCGAGGGGGCCAGGCCAGAGGCCATCCTGACACCCAGGGCAGAATGATGTGTTCCCTGACCGCCCGGATGTGGCTGCACGTGCGCCTGTGTGCGAGGGCGCAGGTGGCAGACCCGGCAGGCCTGAAGGGTGGCCGTCGGGCTGGGGCTCGGAAAGGTTGCCACCCTGTAGTTGTGGGGGGGGCCCATGGAAGTCAGGAGCAGGTCAGGCAGCTCATTAGCACTTGGTGGGGTTTGAAGACTACATGAGCCAGTGTGGCCAGAGGGAAGAGGACCATGGGCCTTGGGGTAGAGGCTGGGCCCACAGGAGGCCCGCAGAGCCCAGGAGTAAGGTGCTCTGGCCAAGCAGAGTGAGCGCCTCCAGAAAGGAGGACCCAGTGGCTGCAGGCCGCTAGGAGGCCAAGCGGGAGGAGGGCTGGGGCCACCTCTGCTTGGCAAGGGCGGTTTGGGGGAGGGCCCTGCAGGTACCAGAAGGGTGGGAGGAAACGGCTGCATCGAGGGACCTGGCCCTCAACGCTGTGCCACCTGCCCCAGGTGCTGCCTGTGCCCCACACGGCCCCGGTTCGCGCCCGGAGTCACAATCGAGGAGGACAACTGCTGCGGCTGCAACGCCATCGCCATCCGGCGCCACTTCCTGGACGAGAACATGACGGCGGTCGACATCGTCTACACCTCCTGCCACGACGCGGTGAGGGCCAGCACCGTCTGGGCAGGCGGGGCGGCACCCGCCCTGTGCTCTCTGCAGTCCCTCTGCCGGGGCACGCGGGCTGGGTGGGCAGCGTGCTAGCAGGAGCCCCTGGCCTTGCAGGGGTCAGCGGCTGATGGAGCCGGATTTCCAGGCCTGGAAGGAGAGAGGCTGAGGCCGGGCCCCGCCCCCAACCCATCAGGCTCATGAGCTGCCCTCCCCCTTAGGTGTATGAAACCCCCTTCTATGTGGCCGTGGACCATGACAAGAAAAAGGTGGTGATCAGCATCCGGGGAACCCTGTCCCCCAAGGTACGCTGCCGGTGACTCCCAGCCCCCAAGGCTGGCCGCCTCCCCCTTCCCCGCCCCTTACCTGTCGCCTCCCCCACAAGGATGCCCTGACGGACCTGACCGGCGACGCGGAGCGCCTCCCTGTGGAGGGACACCATGGCACCTGGCTGGGACACAAGGTACCCTCCCGTGGGTCCCCCTGGCCTGCCCTCCTGCCCCGCCAGTGTGAAGCCCGCCTTGTTACTGGGGCGAGGGGCTGGACTCTCTGGGCTCATGGGGAGAGACGGGTCAAGAGAGGTGTGGATTTGGCTGGCATGTCCACTGCAGCCCACCCACCAGGACTCCCACAACCCTGTGCACCCCAAATCCTGTTCCAGAAGAGCCTGTGGAGGCAGCTGGGAAGAGTTCATTCTGGTTTCTGTTAAACACAGACCACGAACCTCAGTTTCACCATCTGTGAAATGGAAATGCGTCCACCGGCCCCACAGCCAGGCTGCTGTGAGGACCAGCGGAGACATGTGGGCCAGTGAGCCACTGACCACGGTGGCCTTGCTGGTCCCAGGAGGACTCCCTGCCCCGACACTCTCCTCTGCCCCCTCCCCAGGGCATGGTCCTCTCGGCTGAGTACATCAAGAAGAAGCTGGAGCAAGAGATGGTCCTGTCCCAGGCGTTCGGACGAGACCTGGTGAGGCGTTTTCCATGCCACCAGCACTGGCCACCCTCGCTGTCCCTCGGAGGGTTACAGATTGAGGATAGCACCCCACGGGCAGGCTCCCTGCTCACTCAGCCCCTCCCACGCCCCCTGGTCCCTTCCTCTTTGGTACCAGCTGCCCTTGGGTGCCCCTGCTTGGCCACACCTGCTCGAGCCAGGCACCGCAGGCACAGGGATGTCTGGGGGCTTCCAAAATTTAGAGCAGAGACAAAGAAGATAATTCTAGAGGTGCTGCCTGTGGGGGTGAACTGGGCCCTGCCCACTGGCCTCTCCCTGTGCAGGCAGCTCCACAATGCTGCCGGCAGCCCTTCCCGAGGCCAGCACAGCAGCCCCTGGCCTTGGGAGATCATCGGCTCACAGGGGTGAGGTCGGTGGCCCACGACGACAATGCTGTTGCACCAGCTTGGGCACGTGGCGTGATGGCTGCGTGTACAGGTCTGTGTCAGGAGCAGAGGCAGCAGGGGGGCGGGAGCCTCTTTGGGAAATCAGGAGGGACTTCTCCAAGGAAGTCACCTCCGAGCAAGATTTTGAGGGATGAGTAGTTCGCTAGTATTGTCCCCCTGAGAAGTGGTCTCTGGAGATCTCGCTTGGCTCCCCCTCTGACCCAGCAACTGCGCAGCGCAGGCAGGATCAGGACTCTGGGGGAGCCCCAGCCTCGCTGGTGTCAGCTAAGCCAGTTTGACAGGAGTGGGCGGGGCGCTCAGGCTCGATTCTGTCCCCAGGGCCGAGGAACCAAACACTATGGCCTGATCGTGGTTGGCCACTCGCTGGGCGCAGGCACCGCTGCCATCCTCTCCTTCCTCCTGCGCCCCCAGTACCCGACCCTCAAGTGCTTTGCCTACTCCCCACCGGGGGGCCTGCTGAGGTCAGCACCCTGGGCCCTCTGGGAGGGCTGGGTGGGTGGGGCCGGGGCCGGTGGGGCTCAGGACTGAGGGGCAATCTGACTTCCGGTCACGCGGGGTCTGGGAATGAGCTTGTAGGTGGAGAGTGTGCATGGGGATGCTGGAAAATGGCAGGGGGACCCCGGGATCTACTCCCGGCATCGTCTTATTGGTAGGAAGGTGGGGCAGGGAGCAGGAGGCCCAGCCTGGCTCCTGTGAGCTCCCCAGGGGGCCTTGAATGAAGAAACCCCCCTCCACACCCGAGTTGGAGCTGAGGCCCCTCTGCCCCCTCAGCCCCCCTGCTTTCCTTGCAGCGAGGATGCCATGGAGTACTCCAAGGAGTTCGTGACGGCCGTGGTGCTGGGCAAAGACCTGGTTCCCAGGTGCGTGCTGTTCTCGCCACCTTTCCCGCCGGGGCTGCGCCTCCCTCCTAGGGCCTCACCCCTGCACCATGTCTCTCACTCAGAATCCCCTTGCCCCACCCGTCCCCAAGCCCCTCCCTGCCTCAGGCTCCAGGACAAGAGACACCCGAGGACGCCCGCCCTGCCTGACCTCCCCTCCCCTGTCCGCCCCTGGCTGGGCCCTGCTGGGCAGCAGCTCCCCCCACCCAGTGCGGCCCGGGCAGCTGTGTCCGGGGGGCCCGTGTACGCCTGCCCCTCTTCCCACACCTCTCCAGTCCCGGGCCAGGCCAGGCTGACGCCCCGTCTTCTCCACCCCCAGGATCGGGCTCTCCCAGCTGGAAGGCTTCCGCAGACAGCTCCTGGATGTCCTGCAACGGAGCACCAAGCCCAAAGTGAGCACCCAACCCTCCTGGACCCGGCGCCCTGGCCTCGCTCCTCTTTGATCCCTGGGTGCAAAGCCGGGGAGGCCCCAGCACGTGAGGCCGGCTGGGCTGTGGAGGGTGTCACGGGACCCCCCAGGCCCTCAGACCTTCAGCATCTACCCCACCCCTGAGCAGATGGGGAAACTGAGGCCCAGAGTGGGTAAGGGAGTCGCTTTACTCACACAAGTTGTTGCTGAGTATTGGAGCCCAGGCCCCCTGAGTCCCCTCAGGTCACACAGGAGTCCGGGTAGGAAGAGGCCCCAGGCTGGGAGGCGTCTCCTGCAGGAGGGCCTGGGGCAGTTCATTCTGATTTTTCCCTGCAGCTGAGGAGAGGGCTGATCAGCTTTGGGGAGGGAATGGGGCTTCTTCCTGTGGCCAAATGGCCCCCAGCATGCTGGGCCAGGGTGGGGTGCTGAGGCCAGGCATCCCGAGGCAGGAAGGAGGGGCTGACTGGACCAGTGGCTTCTGTGCCCCCCACATCAACCCTCACCCATTCACCATCCCAGCCCGCTTTGCTCTATTCCCAGCTTTGGTGCCATGGCTAAGGCAGGCAAGGCCCTGGGCACTGTGTCCGCCTGGAGGAGCTGCTCCAGGGGGGAGAAACTACCTGCGGGACCCTGCACCTGCCAGCGCAGTGGCTGGGCACCACCCTAGACACAGCCAGCCCTGCCTCTGGCCTGCACAGGGGCCTGGAACAAGGCCCTTCCCTCTCTGGGCCTCTTTCCCCCTCTGGGGTCTGCCGGCCCTTGCCAGCCTGAAGTTCCCCAACTCCAGGCCCTCGGCCTCTGCCTCTTCAAAAGGACACCGCCCTTCCCGCTGCCCCACAGCCACCCCGCTCCCACCCCTCACCTCTGAGCACCCTTCTGCCCCTGCCTCCCAGCCAGCGTGGCTCAGCTCTGTCCCCTCTCCCTGCCCCTCATAGTGGCGGATCATCGTGGGGGCCACCAAGTGCATCCCCAAGTCGGAGTTGCCTGAGGAGGTGGAGGTGACCACGCTGGCCAGCACGCGGCTCTGGACGCACCCCAGCGACCTGACCATCGCCCTGTCGGCCAGCACCCCACTCTACCCGCCCGGCCGCATCATCCACGTGGTCCACAACCACCCAGCTGAGCAGTGCTGGTGGGTGCTGCGGTGCCGCTGGGCCCCATCAGCCAGGAAGTGGCAGAGGCCGGGGGGTGGGGGGACAGGCTGGCCTGCGCTCAGTCACCCCTCAGGGCTGTGGCAGACACTGGCCTCTCCAGCCCTGGCCCAGAAGTGGGACACAAGGCCAGAGCCAAACTCCAGGGTGCTCTCTTGACAGATCTGGCCTTTGCCCCCAGTATCAGGCCTTCCCTGGTGGCCCCCACAGGGCAGCAACCCCCTTGTGTTCCTTCTAAAAGTAAATGCCCTGGGGGTCACCCTAGCCGTAGCCAGCTCACACCTCCATTGTCACTGGGCACCAGTGAGGGCTTAGTTGGCAGAGAAAGGGAGAGGGCATATCAATAGGCATCCCCCCTCTTTGTGCTCCTTTGGGGATCTGGGCCTGGACCCTCCTTCCAGCGTGGGCTGCCTGCCCTGCCCTGACCAGAGGCTGGCGAGCTGCCCCCTATGGGGGCAGAGCAGAGTGGCCCAGGCAGTGAGGGGCCACACAGGGACTATGGCCAAGGCTCGGCTCAGCCTTTCCTGGCTGGGACAGCGGCTGAGGGTGACACAGCAGGGGGCACAGTGCTGTGGGCCAGCCAGGCAGGGACCACCAAACTGACCTACCCTGCTGGGCAAGAGCAAAGAACAGGGCTGCAGCTTCCCGCTGGCACCATGTCCCTTCAGCTGCTGCGAGCAGGAGGAACCCACGTACTTTGCCATCTGGGGCGACAACAAGGCCTTCAACGAGGTGATCATCTCGCCGGCCATGCTGCACGAACACCTCCCCTACGTGGTCATGGAGGGCCTCAACAAGGTGAGCCCCAGCCCCGCGGCGCCTCACACCCTGGTCTCCATCCCGTGTCCCAGCTGAGTCCCCAGCGGGCCCCTCAGGCCTGGGCCCCCTCACTCCTGCTCCTGCCATGCGGCCAGGGGTGGCGAGTTTAGGACACCCCTGGGGACCTGTCCCTAAGGCAGGCTGAGCTCAGAGGCCCCATAGGCCCCCTGGGCCGTCTCAGTGGCCACCCGCCCACCGAGGAAGGGCTGACCACGGGGAGAGGGAACTCCGGCCCTCGCAGTGGTGGGTGAAGCGTGATCACAGGGGCAGACCCATATTTCCGGGAGGAGGAGAGGGTGCCCGCTGACCCCAAAGGCTCTGTTGGCCTGAGTGCCTGGCCTGCCTCCCTGCCCCCCACATGATTGTCACCCCTCCGCCACCACCAGCTCCCCCGTCCTGTCCCCAGGTGCTGGAGAACTACAACAAGGGGAAGACCGCCCTGCTCTCTGCCGCGAAGATCATGGTGAGCCCGACTGAGGTGGACCTGACCCCCGAGCTCATCTTCCAGCACCAGCCACTGCCCACAGGGCCCCCTGTCCCTGCCGGTGTCGCCCTGGAGCTGCCCGCCGCCGACCACCGGAACAGCAGCGTCAGGTGAGCCCCGACCCCCCAGCCTCCCAGAGGACGAGTGTGGGCCCAGAGCAAGAGTGCCCGTGCACATGTGCACTCAGGGGCATGCTGGGCACGCTGGGGCACGGCTGCTCCATGGCACTGCGCAAGGGAGGGGGTGAGCTGAGCCCCGTGCCTGGGATCTCTCCTGCTGTGCTTCCTCAGCCCCACAACCTGTCCTTGCCACGCCCACAAGGGCTAGAAGGCATCTAGGGACACATGGACCCATCTCCATCCTTTTGGGTTCCCCCAAGCCTACTGGGACCCCAAGAGGTGGTCCAGCACCTGCACACCCTCACGTATGTTTGTGTTGAGATGACATGGGCACATAAGTGTGCACGCACAGAGGACATGCTCACACGCAGCCGTGGGTGTGCACGCATGGAGGCACCTGTGCCGGGAACCCCACACACAGACACAGACACTACACCACACACACCCGAGGGTCACACACGCAGAGCAGTCCATATTCACACCCTTTTGCCAGGAGTGGGGTTGTCAGGCTCTTAGGGAGGCTCTGCCAAGAAGGGATCGTCCTGCCTCTCTGGGACCTTTCCTGCCGGACCCCAGCTGACCCCAAGGCTGCTGAGAGGGCGGTTGCTGCCCGGGTGGTTGCTCTCTCCCTGCTGTCCACGCATCGTGCTCCTGCATGGCCAGAGGAGGAGTCAGTGTCCACTTGCAGCCGAAGTCCCTGCTGTACCCCCACTCCCGAGACCTTCACTCACCCCCTGCAGGCTACTGTGCACCGTGCAGGACTCCCCCCCAGGCCCCTGCCCCTACTCCCCATCTAGCAGAGGACCACATGCCATGGCACAGGCGGGAGAACCCCGCTGATGGGGCCCTGGGAGGGGTACAGAGCAGCTCTCGCTGCTGGCCCTGAAAGGGAGGGCAGCCCCTGGACGCGGCTCTGGGCAGCAGCCCCCTTCCTCCCGGACCTCAGTCCCCCTTGCAGTGACAAGGACCCTGGCGCCCCATCAGTGCTCCGAGAGCCTAGTGCTCCCCATGGGGCCTTAACCCTCAGAACCCTGACCCTGTCCCAGCCAACAGGGCCCCTTGTCTTTTATCTTGGGTTCTTGGAGCTGTTTTTTGGAACTAAGGGTTCCCCGCCCCGAACTGACCAGCAACCACTAAACTCACTTTCCCTCCTCCCCCTCCCCAAGTTCCCTGCAGCCTGGGCGCTGGGGGTCACTCTCTCTGCCCCTCCTGAGTCTCACGCCCTCCCTGCCCTGCCCTCTGCAGGAGCAAGTCCCAGTCTGAGATGAGCCTGGAGGGCTTCTCGGAGGGGCGGCTGCTGTCCCCGGCGGCGGCGGCGGCGGCCCGGCAGGACCCCGTGGAGCTGCTGCTGCTGTCCACCCAGGAGCGGCTGGCGGCCGAGCTGCAGGCCCGCCGGGCGCCGCTGGCCACCATGGAGAGCCTGTCGGACACGGAGTCGCTGTACAGCTTCGACTCGCGCCGCTCCTCGGGCTTCCGCAGCATCCGGGGCTCGCCCAGCCTGCACGCCGTGCTGGAGCGCGAGGAGGGCCACCTCTTCTACATCGACCCCGCCATCCCCGAGGAGAACCCGTCGCTGAGCTCGCGCACCGAGCTGCTGGCGGCCGACAGCCTGTCCAAGCACTCGCAGGACACGCAGCCCCTGGAGGCGCCCCTGGGCAGCGGGGGTGCCACCCCCGAGCGGCCCCCCAGCGCCGTGGCCCGGGTGGAGGAGGAGGAAGAGGGGGGCGGGGGGGCGGCCCCCCGCGGGGAGCTGGCGCTGCACAATGGCCGCCTGGGGGACTCGCCCAGCCCCCAGGTGCTGGAGTTCGCCGAGTTCATCGACAGCCTCTTCAACCTGGACAGCAAGAGCAGCTCCTTCCAGGACCTCTACTGCATGGTGGTGCCCGAGAGCCCCACCAGCGACTACGCCGAGGGCCCCAAGTCCCCCAGCCAGCAGGAGATCCTGCTCCGCGCCCAGTTCGAGCCCAACCTGGTGCCCAAGCCCCCGAGGCTCTTTGCTGGCTCCACCGACCCCTCCTCAGGCATCTCGCTCTCGCCCTCCTTCCCGCTCAGCTCCTCGGGCGAGCTCATGGACCTGACGCCCACGGGCCTCAGCAGCCAGGAGTGCCTGGCGGTGGACAAGATCCGGACTTCCACCCCCACCGGCCACGGGGCCAGCCCCGTCAAGCAGGATGAGCTGGTCATCTCGGCCCGCTAGCGCCCAGGGCGGCTGCCTGCTCGGCCAGGCAGCTCTGAGGAGAGGCCCCCTGGGGCCGGTTTAGCCTCCGCCCAGCCTGGGGCGCTGCTGTCAAGCTGGGGGTCCGCATCCCTACCTCAGCTTAGGACCCCCAGAGCCCAGGGGCTGGGATCTGGGCCCAGCAGACTGGGAATGATGGGGAGAGGTGTGGAGCAGGGGGACGCCTGGAGCAGCGTGCCGGGTAGGCCCCCTCAGCCTGACTGCCCCCGGGGGCATCTTGGCAGCCCCTGCTCCAGGATGGGCGTGGGCATCCTGACCCCCATCACTGCCCACTGGTTGCTCTCCCTGGACCGAGACAGAGAGCAGCCCCCTCTCCACGTTCTCATCTGTAGTCCAGGTTGGTGTCTGCCCTGGTTATCCCCCAGATCTGGTGCCTGCTGGCCAGTCCCCTGGGTGAACCCCCAACCATGGTGGCCCACAGTGCTGTGTATGTTTACAGAGGCTACTGGGCTGGGCTCGGGAGGTGATCTGGGCTTGCAAGCACCCCTGCATCAGGTGTTCGTCAGTGCCCCCTCTGAGCAGGGAGGGGCCAGCCCCCAGGGGCCCCGGTCAGACATGGGCCCAGAAGGGTGGGATCAGGACCCCCCTTCTCTGCCGGCTGCCTGCAACGCAGGCACCCATCCCTCCCGTGGGTCCTGGGCACCCAGATCTGCCCCACCTGCTCTTTACCTCCTGGCTTGTCTGCTCCCTGGGATCCTGCCCTCTCAGAGTGGAGGGCACAGGTGTGACCACCCCTGACTGCAGGATCAGTCCCTGGGAGGAAGGAGAGCCCCCAAACCCTCTCCCTTGGAGGATCCCACCTGGCCCCTTTCTGTCATCTCCCCTCTGCACCTAGGCAGTCAGGCTCTGGGACCTGAAACCAAACACACCTTCATCCCCCGGCTCCCGCTGGCCTGGGCCTTCTCCCCTCCTCCCCCCGGCACTGTCCTGGTGGCAGGAAGTGGGGCAAAGAGTGGGGTATGGTGGGGCCTGGCTAGAAACCCCTGCCCAGTGCTGGGGAAGGGGCCAGGGGCTCTGGGGCTGTCCCGATTCAGCCCGAGACGCCCGTAGCCTCTCTCCAGGGCTTCCTGCCCTGCTGGGTTGGGAAGCAGAGGGGAGGTCGTGCATGCTAGCGTGGGGCGTGCGTGTGCATGTGCATGAGTGTGCGCCCGTCCTGAGGAAGGGGCTGCTGGGCACCCACCCCCACCCCCGCCTGCCTGCCACCCGTCCAGCCTGCCAAGAAAACAGCCCGTAACCTTGACAAGGGCCTGTGCAGGGGCCGCGGGCCCAGTTCAGTGTCAGGGACTTGACCTGTTCCCCTCGTCCCCGTCTCACCTGCTGTCCAGCCCCCTGGGTAGGAGAGCTGCTGTGTGCCCAGGCGTTGGCTGCCCCTTCTTCGTGCCTTCGTCTCCTTGGAGGCATGGTCCCCCCCGACCCCACCCACTGCCTCCCTGGGTCAGCGAGGCTCCCCTGGACAAGACCCTCCACCTTATGGTCACCGTTATTTGGGGCCCAGACCTGCCCCGGGCCCCGACCCACCCGCTGTCTCATGGGCACAGAGACCCGGGAGCTGGGCTCCCTCACTCTGACTCCTGCCCCTCACCAGCCCCCTCCCAGCCCTCGCTGAAGCCCAGCTGCTGGCATAGCCTGGGCCCAGCACAAAGCAAGACCCAACCAGTGGCTCCTCGAATTTCACACGGGACAAATTGCAAATCAGTAGAGTTCCAATAGGTACCCGGCAGACAGCAGGGAGAGACTTGGTGTCTGGCCTTTTCGTTTCTCCTCCACCTAGGTGGGCCCTGGCACCCCAAAGCTGGGCGGGTTGTCCACCCAGACCCAGGACTGAGCCATCAGGGACAGACTCCCCACCCCCAAGGCTGCAGCCTGGGGCTGGGGTAGGCTCGGACTCAGCCCTGGACGCCCCACTCCCCGCCGGCCCTCTCCCCGCCTCATTCCCAAAGGACGGTCCTGCTGCCGGTCTCTGCCCCCTTCCCATACCACACTCGGGGGGTCTGAGCCACCCCCCTCCGCCCAGTGCGGCTCAGACGTCTCCCCCTCTGTCCCCCAGACCCGCAGCACAAGCTCTCTGGCCAATTGCTGGCCTGTCCTCCCAGGGACCTGGGTGACCTCCATATGCAACGGGTGGGGCGCAGCCGGGCCTCCCAGACATGCCTGCACCCTGCGTGCCATTCTCCCACGACTTTTTGTACTTAATGTATGAAAGATCCAAACTAATATTGCTGTAAAAAGGAGAGACAAATTAATATAGCTTATTCTATAAATATATCTGTATATAAGGTTTCTGTATATTGTATAGAGCTGTGTATAAACTGGATGTAGATGCAAGCGTGCTGGCTGCCTGCGTGACCTCTCTTCCCCATAGATGGGATGGGGGTGGGGCTGCTGGGGTTGGGGGGCCTTCTGAGACGGGCCTCCATGCTGTTGATGAGGCCCTGGCGGGGCAGGACTACACTTGGAGTCTCAGCGAGGACCAGAAGACCCTCAAAGCCCCATCTGAATAGGGGCGGCCTGTGAGCTGTGCCAGAGGATCCTCAGCCTGGCTTGAAAGGTGGGATTTGTTCACCCCTTTTCCCTCCCTGCGGGGCCTGGGACTCAGAGAGTGTAAGTTTGCTGCCCCACACCACAGAGCCAGCAATTAGGGTACCAGGCTGGTATAACTGTGCCCACCCCAATCCCCAGTGCTAAGACCTAGAGCAAGGGAGGACTCCAACACACCCCCCCTCTGTGGGGAAGGTCGAAATGCAAGGGGCATTGGAGGACTTTGCTGAGGACTTCCCTGGAGGGCACCCCGTCCCACCTGGGCTCCCGGGCAGTGAAGCTTTGGGGGCATCTGCAGGACCTTGTGGGCAACTGAGCCTCCCGCTGGGCCCATGCTCAGTCCCTCCACACAGCAGGGGGCGCTCTTCCTCTAGCCAACCCCACCGTGACCTGCAGGGTCTGGCCTAGGCACAAACCCAGCCAAATTTTGACCTAACCTTGACCTTCCCCTTGGTCACACGCGCACAGTCACACTACATGGTGGGTGTTGAGGAGGTGATAGCACAGTGTCTGTTTTCACCTTTGGCCTCTAAACAGAAGAGGAAACTGAGGCCAGATCAGGGCAAAGATGTCATGAAGGTCACTCGGGTGTGGGGGTGGGCACAGACCCAGCACCAGAATCCACGTCTCCCTTAACCTAATGGTTTGCAGAGGGTCTTTGCACTCTACCCTCTACCCTCGTCTCCTGGTTTACAAGTCCCCATCCAAGTAGTGGGGCAGAAGCAGAAGAAACTGAGGGCCAGAGAGGGTCTGTGGCTTGCCCAAGGTCACACAACTGAGCGCAGCTCACCGAGGTTCTCTAAGGAGGGTGAGGCTGGTGGGCGGCGCTGCCTCCCTGTCCCTTCCCCATTCAGGACCCAGGGCTGCCCCTCCTGTCACAGCGGGAGGAGGTGGGGGGATGGTCCCCTTTAGGGTCCCAGGTAGGGAGCCCCTTCCCCAGGGCAGGGCGCTGCGCCTCTGGCTTCTTTGGTCTTCCCTCTCTTCCTCCAAAATGGGCAGATGGCAGGGCTGTGTGGACCCAGGGAGGCCAGGAGCCCTGCCCTAGGGAGGCCGGTTCGCCTGGCCAGTGGGCAGAGCCCCACCCTCGCTGGGCCGGCCGCCACACTGGTGGAGTCCCCTCCAGTCCCCGCCTCCCTTTCCCCAGGACTGCCTTTGGTCCTGCTGCCTCCTCCTGGCGCTACTGCCGCTCCAGCCGGAGCTGGGAACTGACCCGGAATCTAGAAGGCACCGTTGATCCATCTCTTTCTTAGCAGGCACTTCAGAGCAGGAAGCAGGAACGGTGGGCTAGCGTGGAACTGAAGCCTGTGACCCGCCCACACTGTGACGGGTGGGGAGGGAGTGCGGGGTGTGGGGGGGTGTCCTCAAGGTCCAGTTATTCAAGACGCTCTGGGGCTCCTTCACCGGCCACCACCCTCTCTCAGCCTCTGTTCCAGTCAGGCTGGGTCCCCAACTTTGTTATGGACTTGGGGCTGGCAATCTCAACTCTTGGCTAATGCCTAGACTCTGGGACATCTCAGGCACCCCTCTCCCTGGGCCTAGAGATGAACGTTCCTGGGGACACTGCATCCTGGTGAAGTCGGATGGCAGGGACGGGACCCCTTAGCCAGCTGCCATGGGATTCACAGGAGCCTGCATTCTCCCCCACCCCCCGTCCAACCTCAAGGCTACCCCAAAGACTTGATCATCCAACCTGAGTAGCTGTGGGTTGGGGACGAGATCTGCATGTCCCTGCTCCCCTCACACTCCCCCCACCCCCTACCCCCATGACCAAGATAAGGCTAGGGCGATGCTTGGCTCCCCCCATCAGGACGGTCCTCAAATAGTGGACATTTAGCCCCCATGTAGGGTGGAAAGACCTGTAAGGGGCAGGGGGCTTATGAAGAACTGGGTTCTCCAGGTGGTCCAGCAACTCCTAAAATAAATTCATTGGGAAAAAAATCACCCCGTAGGTAGGTAGGCTGTGGCCACTGTGGCCACTGTGTCCAAGGCAGGCCTGACTCGGGTGGGGGCAGGGGCAGAGCAGAGAATAACAATTGTCTTAAGGGCGGCTGCAGAGGGAGAAAAACCTCTGGGGTGTCAGCTAGAAAAGAAAAGGCATCTCAGTGTTGCCCTCTCCCCCCTCTGCTGCCCTGGGGGGGCACCGGTCAGCACACACAGCTGGGGCCTCCGGCAAAACCCCGTCTATATATCTAAGAGCAACAACCCAGCGATCTGCCCCCAGAGTGACAAAACCTCATTGTGAGCCCCGCCGGCCTGGGCAGCCCCTCCCCCGGGCCCAGAACTGTCGTGGCATTGACCCTCCTCAGCGGGCCGCCGCTTGTCCTGCTGACTGGGCCACATCTGGGCTCAGGCCCTGGCCACCCCTCCCCCCTGGCTGGCCGGGAGCAACTTGGCAAGCTGTCCCCCCAGCCCCACTGGGTGACCCAGCTGGCTGGCCGCTCTCCTCTGGGGGCCACCACCTGGCAGAGCCGAGACCACTGGGTTAGGCTGGTGTTTTGAGCTACCAGCAGGTCCTGCCACACTGGGCCTCAGGGTATACTCTCAGGTCTGGGGTGGGGCAGGTTTGATCTGCTGTATCTGAGTGTCCCAAGAGGCAGTGAGTTGAACCACTATAGTGAGATGATTCTCCAGGTTCAGGATTCTAGAACTGTCTGCTTCCGAGGTTTCAGAGTCCAGGATTTGCTGTTTGAAGATGCCACTGTCCATTCATTCTATGCATATTCATGTAGCCCTACTGTGTGCCAGGTGGTATTCTTGGTGTTGAAGTGACAGCAGTGACCAAGCCAGAGTAGCCTTGCACACTCACAGGGCTTCCACTTTGGAGTGGGGAGGAGGATAGTAACAAAAAGTAAGTAATTTTTTTTTTTAACCTGGTGAGGAGGGAAGGCCTGGGTAGAAGGAACCGCTGGATTGAAGTAGGATGGTCAGAGAGGTGATGTGTGAGCTGAGACCTGCCTCCTGAGAAAGAACCCAGCTATGTGGGGACAAGCATTAGAGATGGATGGAACAGCATGTGCCAAGGCCCCAAGGCAGGTGTGGCCCTGATATGTTGGAGTGAGGCCAAGGAGGTCACGATGACTGTGACTTAGGGAGCAGTGGAGACAAGGCTAGAGACGGGGGTCAGTGGTCCAGGCGGAGGCAGCTCCCCTGAGTCCTTGGAAACCAGAGCCAAAGGTTGAGATGCTGTTGTAAGTGCAAAAGGAAACCACTGGTCTTAGCAAAGGAATAACATGATCTGATTTCCATTTTTAAAAAAGTGATTTGAGAAGATGGTAGAGTTCAGGGAGGAGAAAGTCTGGGCAGTTTGGCTGGGTCGGGAGCGGCACATAATAGGTGTTCATTAAACGCAGGTGGCTGTTCCTGCCGGGCCTGGCCGGGCGATGTGTGAGGACTGGTTCTGCAATCTAAGCTTCAGACCCCGAATCCTCTCCTCCCTGCCCAAGGGGAGGGCAGGGGCTTGGGGCACCTGGGAGCGGCCGCCCGCCCCAGCCCCAGCCCCAGCCCCCGGCCACCGGCGGCGGCTGGCCCCGCGCCCGCCCCTCTCCGCAGCGAGGCCGCCCGCGGAGCCCCAGCCCCGGCCCCGCCGGGCCTCCCGGGGGGCCGAGCCCGGAGCGGGGCGGCGCGCGGGCCGGCCGGCAGGGGGCGCCGTGCGCGGCGGCGGGCGGGGCGCCGGGGCGGGCGGGGGCCGGGCCAGCCGCGCGGGGGCGAGCTCCGCGGCGGGCCGGGCGGGACGGCGGCCGGAGCCGAGCCGGGACTGTCGCGCGGGCCGCGCCGGCGATGCCGCGCCCCCGGGCCGGGCTGTAGCGGGGCCGGGCGAGCGCGCCGGGCGGCCAGACATGGAGGTGGTGGACGAGACCGAGGCGCTGCAGCGCTTCTTTGAAGGTGAGGGGTGCGGGGCTGGGGGCGGCGGGGCCCCCTCGGGCGCTGGGACACCCCCGCGATCGCCGGGCACTGGGACCTCCGACTGAGACCCCCCAGCTCAGAAGGTCCCCTCGCTGCGCCCCTCCGGTGGGCGGCCTCCCTCCGAGACCTGGGAGTCCCCGCTGAAGTTGGGCGCCCCCCCACCCCAGCCCCAAACACGACTTCCCCGGAGCTGTGTTTCCTTTCATACCCGGGCCTCCCTCATGCCTTCTGGGACCTGCAGTCCCCCCTAAGTTCTGACCCCTCGCCCCAGGTCCAGAGTCTGGGGACCTTCTGCTCTGCTTCCTTGAACCTCATCCAGACCCAGACCCCTGTGAGGACCAGATGGTCCACGCCTCCTGATGCCTGCGCTGGAGCCCCTACTCTCAGAGATTAGGACCCCCACTAGGGACCCCGGCCCCCCCGTACCTTTCATGTTGGCCCCCGCCCCCTAGCCTGACTTGGGGAGCTGGGTCCTGCCTGCTGTGCTCCCTGAGCCTAGGACCTCCTTTGAGACGCAACCCCCTTCAGAGCTGCCACTACCTTGTCAAGGCTGCGCCGCCCTGGCGTGCGGATCCCCTGGAGGCAGCCAGGAGCCCCTCTGCAATGTTCTTCCTGTAGCTGGATCCCCCCCACCCCTTCCGAGGGCTGGAAGCTTCTTGTAGTTGACATCTCTGCTGCCAGCCACCTTCGTGCCGAGACCCTTCCAAAGCTATGCCCCAAATCTGCCAGCAGAGCTGTGTCCCCCACACCTATCCTGGAGCTGGACCCCTCACCCCCTCACCTTAACCCCCGGGACCTCCCCAGAACTGGAATCTGCACACAATATTTCCTTCTCCCCCATCCCTGGTTTTGGAGGTCTGCTCCCAGAGCAATGCAGCTCCCCTCCCCTTTTCCTGAGTAGCCCCTGCCCCTCCTGAGGGCTGTCCCCATCCCCCCAATCTGAAGGATGGGCCAGTGCGCAAGTGGGGGGGGAGGGCAAAGGTGCAGGCTGACCTGTCCCAGGCCCTCGGCTCCTCAGACCTGAGTGGAGCATCTAGCCTGGTCCTCTGGCCCCTTTGTTCCCCTCTTTACCAACTTGGGGAGCTAAAAGCCTGCCCGTGCCCTCCCCAGCCCCCTAGTATAGTCTGCGCCTCGAGGCCTGGGGAACACAGAGCAAAGTGATCCAGAGCCTTCCCAAGCGTGATCCTGCCCTTGGGGGTGGCGATGGTCCAGGGCAGTGTGCTGGGGTTCTTGGGTGTGGGGCAGGGAATTGGAGGCCAGGTTCAAGCCCAGCGCCCACATTTTGGAGTCCCATGAGGGAGCGAAGAAGGCCTTCCTGTGCCTCAGTTCCTCCCTTTTTGTGATTGGGGCCAGGAGCCCTTGTCCACTCCTGCTTAGTGAGCTGCCTGGGTAAGGGCATCCCCAAGCCTCAGGATATGAACACCGCAGTAGCCCCAGGCCCCCAGAAATCAAGTCTGGACTGGATCAGATGGTTGACCTGGGAGTAGAAGGGCTTTTGGAGGCTCCTAGGCAACCCCCGTCCATCCCATGGGCTCATTCTCCCCAGGCACTGTTTGTTCACCCCGCAGGAGGCACAGAGGGGCTTTATGGGGGGCGAGGGGATCTGAGGAGGTAGGAAGGGGGCACTAGTCCTTGTTTGGGGGGCACTGTTTTCTGGTGCCTTGAGCCTACCAGATATCCCGGAGGACCCACAGGTCAAGCCCCCTTGCTTCCTGCAGATACCCCACGCCCCCTCCTCCAGGACCCTGGGCCCCCTGTGAGGGTGGGCCTGCCTGGCCTGGGCTCCCTTCTGCTGAGCCAAGCTCTCCCTCCTGGCCGTGGGTGGGGGGTGGGGGCTGACGCCACAGCTCAGCCATGCGCTGCTCCCTCCAGAGAGATAAGAGGAGACTCAAGAATGTCTGTGGGGAGCAGGGGCGGGGTGTGGGGCTGCCTGCCTCTCCCGAGGGAGCTGGGTCTGGGAAAGTGTTCCCCAAGCCCAGATTTGGGGGGTGGGAGACCTGGATGCTGAGGGCCAGGGGCGCTGGGGCCATTTGGCCCCTGGGAGGGAGTCAGGTGGGCTGTGGGGTGTGGGGGACCAGTGTGGCTGGCGATAGGGAGCACCCCGGAAGGCCGGGCCCGCGTGTGTTCCTGAGAATAGGGTGGGAAGCGTGCTTTGTGGTGTGGACGACTTCCTGCCCTTGTGGGAGCAACAGGCGCTTTTTGACTCGGGACAGGGGACCCCTGAATTGTCATCCTGGTCCCCTGCTTGGCCTTGGTCACTGCCTCTGAACAGGGGCACAGGGCGAGGGTCTATGCTTTGGGCTGTGGGCTTGCAGATGGGAAAGGGCTTCGCTGAAGGAACAGGGACACACGGAGGCCCCTCTCCTGGCAGGGCCACACCAAGGCACGCCAGCGCAGGTCCTGGGCCCGCCTGTGCGGTGGCCTGGGACAGTGGGCCAGGGGCTAAGGCGCTTTGGATCTCGGGTGGGAGGCAAGGTAGGGCAGTCCTCGAGGCTGGCACAGCCAGGTCCCCGTGACCTCCCAGTTAATCCTCCAGAGGGAAGCCATGCCTCCCAGACTGGCGGGCACAGGCCTGCAGAGAGGGGCTCTCCGCGCAGGATGCACTGGCTCCCAGCAGGTAACTGGATCGCGGCGCAGGTGGCTCTGGCACCAGGCAGCATCAGGGGATCCTGAGGACCTCAGCGGCGACCGTGAGGCTTGGCCGCAGAGAGCTTTGTGACCCTGTGCGGAGCTCCTACGCTCTGGGCTGCTTTTCTTTTCTTTTTTTATTTATGCATGCATACAAGAACTGGGGTACAGGCCAGAGGTGCCAGGGGGTGAGAGGATTCACCAAAGACAGAGTGGGGAGCAGAACAGGCAGATCCACTGAAATCCACTGCTGAGGGGAGCAGCGGGCGAGACAGGAGAGGTCTGCTGTGCCATGTGTGTTGCTCCCTGGCCGGGAATGGAACTCGTGCTGCAGAGGCTGCGGATTGCCCCGTAGTGCGGTGCTTAACCACTTGCACCACCAGGGAGGCCCCTGGGCTGCTTTTCTTCCCTGCAGGGCAGGAGGGGGTGGCAGAGAAGGTCTTTTCTCCCAGACACAGAAGCAGGATGTTTTAAATTTTAAAGCATGCAGGGGAGGGTGTCGTCCAGGGGCATGTGGGGCTTGAGTGACTAGCCAGCGCCCCCAGAAAGCAGGTGAGTGTGGAGGAATCTTGACAGACTGAGAGAAACTGCTGACTTCCAGAAAGTGCTGCACAGGTTGGGGAACCTGCACTCAGACCCCAGAACCTCATCAGGCCCCCGGTGGAAAGCAGGGTTTCGCCCTTTCTAGACCTCACCTGGGCTGGCTACTTCCCTCCAACCCCACGTCCCCCCCAGGTAGTCAGCGGCTCCCCCAGAGTAGGGCCTTTCACTGTGATCTTCCCAAGAGGACCTGTACCATGGACACAGAGGGGCTGGGCTCCCCACAGCCCCCCAGGGCACCAGGATGTGGCTTGAAGCTACCTTTCCTGCACCTCCCCGATAGGGGTGGGGAAGGCTGGCATGGACCCCTGGCATCAAGACTGCTCGGGAGAAGTTGTCAGGCAGAGTGAGCCAGGGCTGACCCCAGCCCCACCCCTGCTCTCTCCCCTGCCAGCAGGGCCTGGAGGCAGGGGCCTGCTTCTCTGCCCCCTGAGGGCAGAAGGCCCAGAAATCACTGACCACTGGAGGAGAAGACGTCCACCCAACAGGAGTCCGACTGAGCTGGGGTGTGGGGGTGGCATGGTGCCTCATCTCAGCCTGTCTACAGTGTGCCCGGGCGTAAATAGAAGGCGGGAGGCAGCCAAACCCCAGACTCCCAAGGAAATGAGATGGTTCTACCCATAGCCCCCCAACGCCTCCTACCCCAGTCCCAGTTCATCTAACTGATGGCAGCCCCACCTCCCAGGTGTCCAGAGGGAGGGCAGCGCGGGGTGTCTGACTCATCCCATGTCCTGGACACCCAGCACAGGGCCACCCCAACAGGGTGGGGGGAAGGAAATGCTCTCAGGTTCAATGGAGGCAACAATGGCTATGAGAACAGGGGCGGGGGTGGGGGTTGGGGGTGGGGTGCACCCCAGGAAGCCAGCTCTCTGGGAGGGCCTGGGGTCAGTGCAGGGGAGAGGAACAGGAATGGGCTGTTTCCAGCCTGCTGGTCTCAAGGCCTGTCCTGAGTCGGGGCAGAGTGCCCCTGGGGGTCTCAGGTAGAGCCAAGCATGGTGTTGCAGGAGGGGGAATGACAGGACACTCTGGGGACCTGGCCCCCGACTCCCTCACTCTTCAGAGCTTATGGGACGTGTGGGGGGGGGGGCAGGTGCCTAGCAGCAGAGGCTGCTGGGAAATAGCCCAGCAAAGCTGCTGATTGGCTACAGCGCTTGGACTTTACCCTCCAGATAAGCTCCGGGGAGCAGAAATCATTAACTGAATGGTTAACCTGGTGTGTGTGTGGGGGGGACCCGCCCCACCCAGGCCGCCTGCCCTTCCTTTCTACTTTCTTCCTGCTTGCAGCCCAGCTCCCTCCTCTGGGCCTCAGTTTCCCTCACAGCCCAGGGTGCTGGGGTGGGTGGGGGCCTCCTCTCCCTCCTGGAGTTCTCCAGCCCCTGCAGCTTTTGGGTGCCCGTGGCCTGTGGCTGCGGGCGGGGGACATCCTCTAGGAACTGGCTGCCCGTCCGTTCCCAGCTCTGCTGCTCCCCAAGCCCATCTCCTGGCCTTGGCCCTGCTCTGCTTCGCTCCTCGCCTCTGCTGGCAAGTGGGAATGTGGCTGTGGTCCCGGGGCTCGCCTCGCAGGCTTCCGGGGGGAAACAGCGCCTAGTGCGGGTCGCCCTCCCTAAGCGTCAGCCAGGCTGGCGATTCCCATCCCGCGGGGCTTGTGCAGCCCCGTTGGGCAGGCTCACGGTGGTGCTGTGCTCCCCACTTTGAGCATTTACTGGTCCATAGAGAGAGTTGAGCCTCAGACTTGGCCTGGGACCCGTGGC